TCCCAACACACAGAAGAAACCATTTCCCCAAGAGACAGGGAGGGAGCTGATGTTAAACCCAAGCCTCTGGGTACCAGCACCGTCCTCAGGGCTTTCCAGGGCTTCAAAAGCACCAGAGGGCAGTGTGGGTGGCACAGAGAACATCCCAGCCAAGAGAAACAACTTGGGTCTGAATCCAACCAACCAATAACGAGCCTGGCATGGAGCTAAGAGGAAGCACTTTCCACACTTCCTCTCGCTGGATCTTCCCGAGAAGTTTGTGGGCAAGGTCTTGGAACATCCTTGCCCAAAGAGGAAATTGAAGCTTGGAGACATTCCAGATTGTATGTATCCACAGTAACTGCCTTTACTAAGTGGCAGGACTGGGAAGGGATCCCAAGGTCTGCCTGACAGCAAAAGCTATGAACTCCTAACCACTTGGCTGTGAGCCTTCCATGATATTTACACGTGGACACAGATCACAAACCTACCTAACCACTTCCGGGTCCTCTGTCTTTGAGTAAGTCACCTATCCCCTCCTAACACCAGCTTCCTCCCCTGGAAAGCTAGTGAGTTTTGCTCGACAACCCCCCCTCCAAGGCTCTGAGGCTTAAATAAGATAATATATGTGAACAATTTTTCATAAACTGTGACAATTTATGCTACTGAAAATAATCTTGTCAATCATGGGAGGGAGACAGATAGCCTTGTGATGCTATTTGGGCTCTTACAAATACTTCACAGAAGCCATCCTTGGGTCCTTTCTGGTCAGTTGCGTCCCCACGCTCAAGTCAAGATTGGCTTGGGATGATATTCAGAAGGTGGGCAGACGTTGTTGGCACTTGGATCCAAAATATGGCTGGCTCCATAGGAAACATCACCTTCACCTAGGGAATCTGTACTATTTAGTTCTGACATTTATTCTTTTGTTTTAGAGACCGGGTCTTGCTCTGTTGCCTAGGCTGGAGGACAGTGGCTCAGTCATAGCTCGCTGCAGCCTCGAACTCCTAGGCTCAAGGGATCCTCCCGCCTCAGCCACCCAAAGCTAAGTTCTAAGTTCTTCTTAGAAGTAAGAACATGTGCTATTTGTTTTTCTCCTTTTCTGTTCTCCCTGAATCCCAGACTTTTCCACGTGCACGATGCTCAGAAGCCCTGTGGGCTTCAGCGTCAGCTCAGCATGTGGGACAAGAAAGAAGTGATCAACTCCCTATCCAGATGTCTGCACTTTGGGGCAACCTATTGACCTGCCCGGCTCAAGAGTGAGTTCATGGGTTCGGTGAAATTCCAGCCATTCATTTCGCTGCCCAAGGCTGCCACCTGGCGGACAGAGCTCACTTTTTATTTCTAAACTTGGTTGCAAAGTTGCTTTCACATTCATTAAAAAACAAAAAACATCAGATAACCTTACAAATCTGTGAGGTGTGTACGGTTGGTGTTATTATTTCCACCTTATTGTGAGAAAATGGGGCTTCCAGAGGGGAAGGAATTTGCAAGTACGTGGAATTGTGTTTAGTGTCTTTTTCCTCCTTTCAGCAAAAGACAAAAAATACCATCATGGGAGAGCTCTGGGTCTGAGTCCAGTTGAAGTCCTGGCTCACTAACTGCCACTAAGTGAGGGCTTGTCACAGAACTGAAGGTGGCCATTGCCAGGCCTTCCACTACTAGGACATCTGCCCTGGGTGGAGCTACTCCGTCAGTGACTGTGCTGAAGAACTTCTGGAAGGGAAGGTGATGGCTGATAGACATTTCAACTCGTGTGTGTGTTTTAAGGTTTGGTGGGTTGCAGCCCCAAACCCGAGGTTAGTTAAATATGAAAATTCAGGCAGCAGGATCTCCAGGACTCCTCTGAATACACCCATTGGCCACTTTACAAGGGAGTGTACACAGAGAGCCCTGTCTCCAGGACTCAGCGCAACCTGGCCATCTGTTAGGTATGTGACCTTGCAGGGGTCTCCCCCAGCCTCATCTTCCTCGCTGGGAAAACAGGGATAAAAAGCGGTATTCTCCATGCCTTTGCAGACCCTTAGCTTAGAAGTGAGAACATGCGGTATTTGGTTTTTTATTCCTGCGCTACTTCACCTAGGATAGTGGCCTCCAATTTCATCCAAGTTCTGCAAAAGAGGTCATTTTGCTATCTCTTTTTTTTTGGTTTTAATTTTAGTTTTTTATTTTTTGAGTCGGAGTCTCACTCTGTCGTCCATGCTCACGGCCACCGCAGCCTCGACCTCTTGGACTCAGGCGATCCTTCTGCCTCAGCCTCCCAAGTAACTGGAACTATAGACGCATGCCACCACATCTGGCTAGTTTTTGTGCTTTTTTGTAGAGATGAGGTCTCACCAAGTTTTCCCAGGCTGGTCTCGAACCTCCAGGCTCAGGCAATCCTCTCCCCTTGACCTCCCAAAGTGCTGGGATTACAGGTTGAATCACCACGCCTGGCCCATTTTGTTATTTCATATGGCTAAATAGTATTCCATGGTATGTGTGAACACACACACACACACACACACACACACACACACACACACACACACACACACACTATGGATACAATGTGCGTTAGCGGGGTTGATAGGTACACTTGAAGCCCAGACTTCTTCACCACTACACAAAGCAGCCATTAGCCAAAAAAATTCGTACTCATTTAGCTATACAATAAAGAAAATTATGGAAGGCTGAGGCAGAAAGATCTGAACCCAAGTTGAGGCTGTGGTAAGCCGTGAGTGTGCCACTGCACTCCAGTCTGGGCAACAGAGTGAGATTCTGACTCAAAAAATAAATAAAAAATAAACAAACTAAAAAAACACAACAGTATTCATCCCAAAACATGTTGTGAAGGTTCAGGTACACAATCACACTTGGCAACAAGCCAGTGCTAGAAGCCTACACGTTATTTGAGCCTCGTAGGTAGAAGCTATTCTTCTCTAAGGGGGTGACAGCTCTAAGGGGCTGACAGAGGCTGCATTCATGAGACACCATGTGCATGATGGGACAGCCAGGGATGTTTCAGTGGGTGTTTCCTTTAAATACCTAGTCATGGTTCTTTTAATCTGGGTGGTGTTCTCTAAGCCCCCCTCTCCGGGGAAGGGTATGTGCTGGACAGGGGTGTGGCATTGGGGGTCACCCCATGAAAGGAAACCCTACAAGCCTAAGGGACAACTGGAGGCAGTGCAAAGGACTGTCCTACTCAATTAGGAATTACCTGTTGGGCCAGGCTTGGGGACTCAAGGCTGTAATCCCAGCACTCAAGCAGAGGCAAGAGGACTGCCTGAGTCCGAGGGTTCGAGACCAGCTTGGGCAACATGCTGAGACCTTGTCTTTATAATAAATAAAAACATTAGCCAGGTGTGGTGGCACACACCTGTAGTTCCAGCTACTTGGAAGGTTGAAGTGGACGGATCACCTGAGCCCTAGGTTGAGGCTGAGGTGGCCATGAGCATGCCACTGTACTCCAGCCTGGGTGACAGAGTGAGACTCCAATTAAAAAAGAAAAAAAAAAGCAATTGTCTCTTGAATTGATGGTTTCCTAAAGAAGGTATACACGCCACGAGTCATTAGAAGAGTGCAAATTAAAACGCCAATGAGATACACCTCTCACCCACTGGATGGCTATTAATAAAAAACCAAAAAAAAAACAAAAAAACCCAGAAAATAATAAGTGAGGATGTGGAGACAGTAGAAGCCTCATGCACAGTTGGTGGGATTGTAAAATAGTGCAGTGGTTAAGAAAAACAGTACAGTGGGTCCTCAAAAAATAGGACCACCATATGACCCAGCATGTCACTTCTGGATACATACCCTAGAACACAGAAAGCAGGGTCTCAAGGGGTTACTCAGACACCCACATTCATAGCAGTGCTATTCACAACAGCCGAAAGGTGAGAGCAACCCAGTGTCTATCAACAGATTAATGGACAAACAAAATGTGGTCTACACACCCAAGGGAATATTATTCATCCTCGAAGAGGGAGGAAATTCTGACACACGCTACAACATGGATGACCCTTGAGAACAAGATACTACGTGAACTAAGGACAGACACGGTATGATTCCACTTGCATGAGGTCCCTGGAGAAGTCAAATTCATAGAGATAGAAAGGAGAATGGTGGCTGCCAGGGATGGCGTGGGGGTGAATTATCGGAGGGGGACAGAGTTTCAGTATGAAATGATGAAGAGTTCTAGGATGACTGTACAATAGTGTGAATGTACTTAATGCCTTAAAATGGGTGGTGAATGTATGTGCATTTTACTGTAATTAGAAAAGAGGACTGTCTCATTCAAGTACTAATAGCATCCCTCAGAATGACACTACTAGACCATTGAAAAATGGTCAAACATATATGCATTTGGTCATAAGTTCATTCACACGCATGAGACCTAAGTGGTCTAAGTTGTCACACTCGCCTAAGTTTCCCCCTTTGTCTCAGTTGACAAAGAGATCTTTAAAATCAAGAGAACTAGCCGGGCTCGGTGGCTCAGCCTGGAATCCCGTGCCTTGGGAGGCTGAGGTGAGTGAATTGCCTGAGCCCACGGGTTCGAGACCCGCCTCTCTATAACTTGGCGAGACCTCCTCTCTATAACAAATCAAAAAATTAGCTGGGTGTGGTAGCGCACGCCTGTGGTTCCAGCTACTTGGAAGGCTGAAGCGGAAGGATCGCCGGAGCCCAGCTGGTCGAGGCTGCAGTGGCTGGGAGCGGCCACTGCACTCTAGTCTGGGCGATGGAATGAGACTCCAACTCAAATAATAATAATAATAATAATAATAATAATAATAAAATAAAATCAAGAGACCTTTTAAACCAGGTTAAGGAACAGATCTACAGAGCCAGAAACACAGCGATGGATTGGAAGGAATCACATTATTAAATTGGTGGCTTTCGCTTCATGAAGTTCCATTTATTTTACAGTAACTAATTTATAAATGACTTCTCTTCATCAAAAAAATCAACACCTTGGCATTCCCAGCTTCAAATGATACTTTTGGGTTTTGGTGGGAAATGGCTGAAAAAGAGAGAGTTCCTACCTTGTAGATGCAGGACTTAGCATTCAGAAAGAAGAGCTCGATGGTGGCGTTATCCTTCAGGTATGAAATGCTTTCTATATAGAATCTGAAAGAGAAAAATGACGCGTGAACCACAGAAATAGCAGGTGCAGAAAACCATCTGTTCTCTTGAACTATATGCTTTGAGATGAAAGTTGGAACTCTCAGACCTAAATGAACAAAATAAAAAGGCATTGGGAAGCAGAGGCGAGAGGATCGCTTGAGCCTACAAGTTCAAGACCCACCTAGGCAACATAGCAAGACTCTCTACAAAAATAAAAATAAAAAATTAGCTGGGCATGGTGGTACACGCCTGTAGTCCCAGCTACACAGGAGAATGAGGCAGAAGGATCGCCTGAACCCAAGAGGCTGAGGCTCCAGTGAGCCATAATTGTGCCACTGTATTCTAGCCTGGGTGACAGAGTGAGATTCCAACTCAATGATAATCAAAAAAAGAAAGGGCTGGGTGCAGAGGCTCATGCCTATAACCCCAGAACTTTAGAAGGCCAAGGTGAGAGGATTGCCTGAGCCCATGGCTTCGAGATGGGCCTGGGCTACTTGGCAAGACCTTGTCTCTACAGTAAATCAAAAATTAGCCAGGCATGGTAGCGTGCACCTGTAGTTCCAGCTACTTGGAAGGCAAAGGCAGAAGGATCAACCGAGACCAGCAGGTTGAGACTGTGGTGGCCATGAGCGTGCCACTGCACTCCAGACTGGGCAACAGAGTGAGACTCTGACTCAAAAAAAAAAAAAAGGAAAAGAAGGAAGAAAAAGCCATCATCTACTGTTTCTCTATGATTCCTTTTTGAGGACAAACAGTGTTTTTAGAGTGTTTATAATGGATTAGGACTCATTCTGGACAGTCCTCACCACAGTCAAAGAACCAATTCTACCACCCACCTGTAAGAACAGATTCTAAAACTGACCGTCTGCTCTCTGTTATCTGCTTCCTAAGTTTTCGTAATGGTTATTTGTTTTCATTACATTACTTGTTTGTCCTAAATCATTGTTGAGCTGGATTTTTACAGATCATTACTCTGCTTGATCACAGTCCTCTCTGAAATGGTTACCATGCACCCTCCTGAAGGTGGGGAGTGGGGTTTGATTCCTGCACATACAGACAGCTGTGTTGAGTGTTCTTAACTCTGGGATATTAGCGCAGATTAAGCCAAATGAGAATTGGCTTTCGATCCAGATGGAGCTCATAGACTTTTTTCAAGATGAAACATGCTGACATTATTTAAGTTTATGCTAAATGTGTCTTTACACAGCGACTTTGGAGTTCACTAATTCTTGAATGAGATCACGTACTTGTACTGTCCAAGGACCAGCCACACTGAGAGTAAAGGAGCTGACAGGAGCGGGGAGAGGTGGAAATGAGGCATCTCAGAGACGGAGGAAGTTTTCTAAGCAGGGGCGTCGCGTGGTTTGGATATCCACCCCCCTCCAAGTCTCATGATCCCCAGTGCTGGAGGTGGGGAAGAATGGAAGGTGTCTGGGTCATGAGCGTGGATCCCTTATGAATGGCTTGTGGCCAGCCCTTTGGTGATGAATGAGCTCTCGCTCTTTGTTCACTTGAGAGCTGGCTGCTTAATGTCTGGGACCTTCCTCTTCCTCTCTCTCTCTCTCTCTCTCTCTCTCTCTCTCTCGCTCGCCACGTGGCACACCCACTGCCCCTTCATCCTCCGCTGTGGTTGAAAGCATTCCGAGATTCTCACCAGTGCAGCCTGCAGAAAAGTGAGCCCAGTTCAAAACAGAGTAAGAGCAGCCACCCTTAGACTGGACTCGGAGGGCACTGGGGACCTGGGGTTCCTGGAAATGTGGCTGGAGCAGAAAGTGAAGGGAATGAAGTGAGAAAAAGGCAAGCACTGCAGTCTTCCAGAAGAGCACGACAATCTGATGACAAGAATCCCGGGAAGGGCAATCACAGATCGGTGATCTAGTCCCAATTCTGAGTGACTTCGAGAATATTACTCCGGTCACATCATCTCACTGGGGTTCTGTGTTCCAGGTGCTAAAAGAAGAGGTAGTTCTCTACCTGAGCAGTCCACTGGTTTTTAAATATGGGAGACGAATTCAAGTGAAAACAACAACAAGAAGCCAGCCTTGAATAAGGCAAACACAACAGTCTGTAGACTAGGTCAAGGCTGTGGCCCATCAGATGGCAATTTCTTATCTACAGACTAAATAAATGACGTCTTCCAAATATGTACAGAGTCTGTCGTGATTAATGCAACACAGCTTTATTTAAATTTGTGAGTGAATTCAGAGTAACTTTGTATATGAGTAGATTTGCTTAATCTGCAAGCGATATTGGTACAATCACAACATTTCGGGGGATTACACAACGATCCTCATACCTACAAAGCCTGGGAAGGTCCGCCTGGCTGATCCCTATCCATGACCCCTTTACTCCTGAAAGCACCTGGCTCCTGCTTTCAAGTATCTTAGGTCACAGAGGCCTCAACCACATAGGGCCCATCATGGCTTCAGAGGTACAGGAAACTTGTACGATTTCCATTTCTTTAATAATAGATAACTGGATGGCGGTAGCAAATTTTATATCTCAAAGCAAAATAAATTAAATTTGATTAAATTTTTTAAAAAACCTAAATCTATATCCTTTACACGCGGTCTTTGGCAAGGGGTAGTCAGAGTAACAAAATAAAGACCAGGCACGGTGGCTCACGCCTATAATCCCAGCACTTTGGGAGGAGGCTGAGGTGGGAGGACTGCTTGAGGCCAGGCGCTCAAGATCATCGTGGGCAAGTAGCAAGACCGTATATCTACCAAAAAAAGTCAGGCAAGGAGATGCACGCCCGTCGTCCCAACTACATGGGAGGCTGAGGTAGGAGGATCACTTGGGCCCAGGAGTTTGAGGCTGCAGTGAGTTACGATCATGCTACTGCACTCCAGCCTGACAACCCTGTCTCAAAAAGAATAACAGAATAGGGGCAAAGAAGAGAGAAAGCAGGAAAACAGAGAGAAGGAGTGGAGAGATGGGAGAAAATATCCTAATACCAGAGTAACAGCAGTGGCTTCCCGAGGCTGACAGCAACCTCAGTACTCCAATAATGATTCTGAGTCGAAATCTGCAAGGTCAAAAATTAATTAATCTTCAAAGCAGTGCTCTATGTCTTCATCTCATTTGCTTTAGTTCCTGAGAATTAAAAAAGACACCCTGGCTCCTCCCCAGTTTCTCCTCAATGGTAGATTAAGAAGACATAACACTTCCCCCTCTTTTGTTTTTACTCTCTCACGGAAAACAAACGAGGTGGCAAATTTTACATCTTCCACGACAGCGTATTTTCACTGGGTTCTAGGTCGCCTAGCCATAACAGAGGCAGAGAAGGTACAGGAAATAACAAGTATATTCTGAGATGAAGGGGAAAAAATCACGTCTCCCTGACAGAACTGGAAAGCAGTTTCCCATTCACTTTTTATCACCAAGGCAGCAGCCTGGGAAGCCCTGTGAGTTCCAGGCTGGCATGTTACTGCTCTGTGACCCTCAGATATTTAGCTCATTCTTAATTTCTATCCACGCCAGGCATGGTGCACGCTTGGGCACACCGGGGCAAAAAGCCTCTGGGGAGATGGAGAGAATGGACGGTTTGGATTCAAAATCAAGATTTCCTTTTTTAAAAAATTCAGTTTTCGGATTTTCATGAGAGCCTCATCTGCAGTTCTCCTCTCTGGCAGTAGGTGGCCATGTTGCATTTCCTTGACTACCTGTGTAGGGTAGAAAGGGCTTCCACCGTTCACAAAGAACATTCCGGGACTCTGGGTAAATCCAGGGAAATGGATGCTTTGCCTTAGATTTTAAGAGACAATTTGAAATCGGGTTGTATACTAATCACGTCTTTTTGCTTGGACGTCTGGGGTCTTGGGGACCCTGGAAGGACTGCCCCGAATAAGGTCAGCCAATTCCTACAGACAGTCATCTACTGACAGGTGAGCAGGGTGTTCACATCCAACCTACCCACCCACCATCCACGTTTCCTACAGTCTACATGGGCTCTCACACCCGGAGCCACCATCCTGCTCCCGGATCACCCCGGGGACATGTACCAGACCACCAGGCACAGCCCCTGTGCCCCAGAGCCCGCTGAAATGATTCAGACTGGCCAATCCTCAGCCTAATTACCCCATCACGTCCGTTCCTTCCTGCAGAAGCCACAGGGAAGTCACAGTCCTGCCCACCTGTTCCCTCGCTCCCTCGGCGTCCCGATCCACCCTGTTGCTTCCCCGTGTGGCCCTGCGTGGTGTGGCCCGTCTCCTCCTCTTGGGGACTGTGAGTAACAAACTGTTTTCTCTATGGCTTCCTCTCTGATCTGTTGGCCTCGTCACAGCTGAATAATAGTAAAGCCCGCATCATAAAACAGGGTTTTTGGCACATTTAGCAGGAATGAATCTCAGGGCTTCTTTTTTGAGTTGAAAGGAGCCTTCTAGGCTGAGGGCAGACCCAGCTCAGAGGGTTTTGTGAGCCACCATGAGCCACCTTACACACCCAGCTCAGATGATCCCAACCTGGGAATATTTTATCAGACGGTCTGAAGGAGGAATAGGTATGTATTCTGTGTTCACATGTTTGAGTCTATTAAATGCACAACAGGCTCTGAAACCTCGGGGGGAGGGGGTTGCATCTCCTTCTCTGACTTGTGGATGCCTCCGACTGCCACCGACTGCCACAGATTGAACGCTGTCTAGTCAGATGGCGAGGACGCAGCCAGATGACATCAGCCAGGTGTCCCCCCCATCCCCCCTGTTCGTCCTCGTCCCTCTCACATCCGCCTCTCGGCACTCAGGGATCACTGAATATTTACAGCAAGTGTTAATTAAATGGGCCAGTGATTTCATGTTGCAATGAACACAAATGTCACATTTGAAATGCCAACTTTTGGTGGCAAAAAAAAAAAAAAAGAGAGAGAGAGAGAGAGAGCCTTAATAATGAGAACAATAAGCTGTGAGTTTCTGCGGCCAAATCTCTGACGTGTAGAATTTCAACGGCTCTAAAATCTTAACAGGGGTAGCCAGCTGGGCTATAGCAAGTTCTGGTGAGCAGGTGCC